ATAGATAGATGATAGATTTCCATATGGGGATAGATAGATAGATAGATAGATAGATAGATAGATAGATTGATTTCCACATTTGTAGAGCTAAAGCTAGATAGATGAAAGATAGATTTCCATATTTGTAGAGATGGATGGATGGATGGATAGATCTATCTCCATATTGGATGGATTAGATAGGTGAATTAGATAGATGGATTAGTAGATAGGTAGATGGATAGGTAGTTAGGTAGGTAGATAGATTTCCACATTTGTAGAGATAGATAGATGGACAGATAGATATAGATAGATAGATCTCTATATTTGGATAGACAGCTTTCCATATTTGTAGAGATAGAAAGACAGATAATTTTGTAAAGACATACAGACAGACTGACAGATCGTTCAGGGGGTTGGACTCGACCTTCAATATTCTTGAATGAAAAACTAAGTTTCAATGATAGCTTACGGAGAAAAATGTTGCCTTCCTCCCCCTCCCCCCATCCAAATTCAGGGATGTCCGAAAATCTAAGGAGGATCCTTTAAGAAACCCTTGTACTAAATGCTTCCAACTTTGTTATTCTGTTTTGCTTTTTGTGCCTTTTCACTTTTTCCTGGTTGACCCCCAGATGGGAGACCACCAGGAGATCTCAAGAGCTGGAAGCTGGCCTAAAAATGTCAAAACTGTAGAAATTTCCAGAAATTGACCCTGGCACAACTTCCTTTCTTAAAGCTAAGAAAACTACCCCAAGGTTCCCACCACGAGTCAAAAAACTCACCCGGAAGAAGGTTCCCATCTCCCTTTCTACAGACGTACCGCTTTATAAAGCCTTAGTAAGGCCACACCTGGAAGACTGCATCCAGTTTTGGTCACCACATTACAAAAAAGATGTTGAGACTTTGGAAAAAGTGCAAAGAAGAACCACTGATAATTAAAGGTCTGGAGACTAAAACATATGTAGAACCGTTGCAGGAACTGGGTTTGGCTAGTCTAGAGAAAAGAAGGACTAGTAGGTGACATGACAGCTAGTGTATTTGACGGGCTGCCACAAAAAAGAGGGGGTCAAGCTATTCTCCAAAGCACCAGAGGGCAGGACAAGAAACAACAGATGGAAACTAATCAAGGAGAGAAGCAACCTGGAATTAAGGAGAAACTTCCTAACAGTTAGAACAATTAACCAGTGGAACACATTTTTTTTCTTATGAAATTGTTCAACAATTCCTTCCTTCCTTCCTTCCTTCCTTCCTTCCTTCCTTCCTTCCTTCCTTCCTTCCTTCCTTCCTTCCTTCCTTCCTTCCTCCCTCGTTTCCCATGGATGCAACCTAATCCAGGAGACAAACAACTTGGAATTAAGGAGAAACTTCCTAACAGTGAGGACAATCAACCAGTGGAACAGCTTTCCTCCAGAAATCATGGGCGCTCCATCACTGAGGTTTTTAAGAAAAGACTGGACAGTTACTTGTCTGAGACGGTGTAGGTTCTCCTGTTTGAGCAGGGGGCTGGACTAGAAGACCTCCAAAGTCCCTTCCAGCTCTATTCTGATTGGTACTGGCGGCTTTTAAGAAGAGACTGGACAGTCACTTAGTCTGAAAGGGTATAGGGCAGGGGTCTTCAAACTTAGCCCTTTTATGACTTGCGGACTTCAACTCCCAGAATTCCTCAGCCAGGTACGCTGGCTGAGGAATTCTGGGAGTTGAAGTCCGCAAGTCATAAAAGGGCCAAGTTTGAAGACCCCTGGTAGAGCAGGGTTCTCAACCTTGGCAACTTTAAGACTTGCTGGCTGAGGAATTCTGGGAATTGAAGTCCACAAGTCTTAAAGTTGCCAAGGTTGAGAACCCCTGCGGTAGAGGGTCTCCTGCTTGAGCAGGGGGCTGGACTAGAAGACCTCCAAGGTCCCTTCCAGCTCTATTCTCATTTAGTTCGGATTGACGTCAAATCCCAGCCCCCCCAGGCCATTAAAGAGTTAACCGCCCCCCTCCTCTCCGCCCCCGCCGAGCCCCTTTCCCGTCCTCCGCCCCCGCCTCCCCCGCCCGCCGAGGGAAAGCCGAGGGGTGGGGAAAGCAGCCGACGGGCAGCCGCGCCATCGCTCGCAGCTCGCCGAGTTTGCAGCGGTGGCCCCGGCAACAGGCAAGCCGGCCCCGGTCGCAGCTCGCTCCTCTCCGGAAGCTCCGGAGGGAGGGAAAGATGCTCCGTCCAGCCGGGAACCCGCCTCTTCGACCCCGCAACTTTTTAGCTCCCGGAGCCCCGCAATAGAGCCGCCCCCGCCGCGATGGCCGTGCAAGCGGCTCCGCTCCCGCCTCCCCACCACCATCCCTTCGTCCCCTTCGGCTTCCCGCCGGCCGATTTCGAGGGAGGCGGCGGCGGCGGCGGCGGAGCGCTGCTGCTGCTGGAAGGCGTCGGCGGGGCCCACAGCGGAGGCGGCGGCATCGCTTCTTGCACCGACCCGGGCGACTTCCGCGAGGCGACCCGCGAGCTGCTCAGCTTCATCGACTCGGCCTCCAGCAACATCAAGCTGGCCCTGGACAAGCCGGGCAAGTCCAAACGGAAAGTCAACCATCGCAAGTATCTGCAGAAGCAGATCAAGCGCTGCACCGGCCTCATCGGCGGGGCGTCCGCCAACCCGGAGGCCGCCGCCGCCGCCGTCTCCGCCTCTTTCGCCGCGGCAGCTCCCGGTCCGGTTCCCGCTTCGGCCGCCAACGCCACCAAGCCAGCGTCGACGTTGACGGCGCCCTCTAGCGGCGGCGCGGCATCGTCCTGCAGGCCTGCGGCCAAACGCGAGAGCCACGCGCTGCAGAGCAAAAGTTTAGCGGCGCTTTTCGACGCCTTGCGCTCGCCGGGTTTGGAGCGAAAGGGATCCCCGACGGCCGCGGCAAGCGCGGCGGCGGCGGCTGCTCCCGCCGCCGGGCTGGGGAGCGACGTGGGCGGCAAGGAGGCCGGGTCTAGCCCGGCGGCGGCGGCGGCGGGGGGCGCCTGCAAGAAGGTGCCTCTGCGGAACCGCAACCTGCCCGTCTCCTTCTTCACCGAGCCGGCCCCGCCAAGCCGGGCGCCCAATCCGGCCGGTTTGGAAGAAGCCGTCCCGTCGGTGGCCGAGGAGCTTTTCGATCTGCTGGCCGCCGCTCCCGATTACCGCGCCTTGCTGCAGGAGTCCGCGGAGCCGCCGGCCGTCTTTCCGGGCCCCGCTTTGCAAGCGGCGGCGGAGCTGCCGCTGGAGCCGCCGTTGTACGAGCCGCTGCCGTCGCTGGCGCCCCTGCTGTATGCCGAGCCCCCCTTGCGCCCCCTGCCGGCCCTCTACGCCGCCGTCGCCGCCGCCGCTTCGGATCCCGCGGCGCCCTTCTTTGCGGATTGCCCGCTGCCCCCTCCCCCGGCCGTGCCCTACGATTACGGCTACAATCGGGGGGTGCCTTACCCCAGCCTTTAGCCCTTCGTGGACGGAAGGGACGAGGAAGCGGGGGTGGGGTGGGCTGGGGTAGGAGGAATGGCGGGACCCCCGCTATCGGGGGCCAAGCGAGTGAGGTGTGGCCTTGGAGGGCGAGGGAGCTCTGGAAGTGGCCACCGACTCATTGTAGGACTACTTCGGAAAGACTTGGGCAGTCCGGCCCTGCCTGATGACCTCTGGGTGTGCCGGACCCCATCTCCCATCCTCCTCCAAGCCTCACCTCCAATTATGCAGACTTGGGTTGAACTTCCGGAGCGGTCCTGAAAGGCTTTGATCAAAGGAAAGTTGGATGGGGACAGTTGAAGAGTGACTCTGTAGGACTACTTCGAGAAAGCCTGGGCAGTCTGGCCCTGCCTGATGACCTCTGGGGGTGCCGGACCCCATCTCCCATCCTCCTCCAAGCCTCACCTCCAATTATGCAGACTTGGGTTGAACTTCGGAGCGCTCCTGAAAGGCTTTGACATCAAAGGAAAGTTGGATGGGGACGGTTGAAGACTGACTGTTAAGAGAACCAGTAGCCTCTTAATGGAAGAGGCCCCTTGTTCCCAGGAATTTGGGGGAGCCCCAGGATAGTTAGCCTATGTAAAGTCTTAAATCGAGATCACTCTATAATTGTAACTTCTTCATACTCTTTATGGGCCAGTTTTGTCCAAGCTGAATAAGTTCTTGTGATTTGGGGGGAAGAATTCATGTTGGACAGGAGACTTGGGATTTGCCTGCCTAGGTTGGGTTCCAGAAGAAAATCATAAAGGTCCCTGGTGGTTAGAAGGCAGTATTGCAGGCTAACTCTGCCCACTGCCAGGAGTTCGATCCTGACGGGGCTCAAGGTGGACTCAGCCTTCCATCCTTCCGATGTCGGTAAAATGGGGGACCCAGATTGTTGGGGGGCAAGTATGCTAACTCCCTAAACCACTTAGAGAGGGCTGTAAAGCACCATGAAGTGGTATATAAGTATATTGCTATTTCTTGATCCGTCTTCTCTGTTTGCACATCTGAATCAAGTTCGGTGTGCAGACGGCCAACTATTCTCTGAAGTGTGAATCTGAAGGGGCCTCATTTGTAGGAGAACCAAAAGATCTAAGGTTTACTTTTGTGCAAATGTGCAAAGGATGGGGGGGGTGAGGGGAGAGTTCCTGGAATGGAAAGTTTCTACACAGAAGGCTGGAGATGGCCCTTTTATGACTCGTGGACTTCAACTCCCAGAATTCCTGAGCCAGCATGGAGGAAACTTTGGCTCCTTCATGACTTGTGGACTTCAGCTCCGAGAATTCCTGAGCCAGCCATGCTGAGGGGAAAGGGAGAGGTTTCCAAGCTGAGCCATGCTGGCTCAGGAATTCTGGGAATTAAAGTCCACAAGTCATGAAGGGGCCAAAGTTTCCCCCCTGCTGGCTCAGGAATTCTGGGAGTTGAAGTCCACGAGTCATAAAAGAGCCAAGGTTGCCTATCCCTGGTATAGACAGATGGGAATATCTACAGTGCCAATCTGCAGACTTCATTCCTCTCTCTTTTTTTTAAAGTTGCAGTTCTGGAGGAAGCAAGAGAATGGCATGCATTTATGATAGTTGTAATGTCCCAGGGTCATGTGATCACCTTTTGCGACCTTCTGACCACAGAAACCAGATTCACTTAACAACGATGTTACTAACTTAACTGCAGAGATTCCCTTAACAACTGTAGCAAGAAAAGTTGTAAAATGGAGCAAAACTGTCTTGCTTAGCAATGGAAATTTTGAGCTCAATTTGGGTGGTACATCCAGGATTACTTGTATCTATATTTAAGAACCCTACATACAATCTACTGTTCTTTAAGATGTGAGAGTTATATAGGTGTTACATCGTATCATGCTTCTGTGTCCAGGGCTGACCAGGTTCTGGTGCTGAATGGTGTTTGGCTATGCGCATCTGACAATCCCCAAAAGCAGTGTTTCTCAACCTTGACAATTTTAAGGCATGTGGACTTCAACTCCCAGAATTCCACAGCCAGCAATGCTGGCTGTGGAATTCTGGGAGTTGAAGTCCACATGCCTTAAAATTGTCAAGGTTGAGAAACACTGCCCAAAAGGGATGGATCTGGTCATGTCATGCTTGCTAACGCTTCATTCATGTACAGCATAGAATTGTATGGATAAGGATGTGTGGAGAAAGGTATTTGTTTTTTTTCTCATGGTCACCATTCATAGTTTTAGTTTAGTATATGCATACAGATCAAACTAGTGGGCAACCTTGGCTCTTTTATGACTCGTGGACTTCAACTCCCAGAATTCCTGAGCCAACAATGGGGTGGGATGGTGGGGGGTGGGGGGACTCAAGCTTGGAACCTCTCCCTCTACCCTCAGCGTGGCTGCTCAGAATTTGGAGTTGAAGTCCACGAGCATAAAAGAGCAACGTTGCTACTCCTAGAAACAGGGTTCTCAACCTTGGCAACTTTAAGACTTGTGGACCTCAACTCCCGAATTCTCCCAGTTCCGGCTGGTGAGGAATTCTGGGAGTTGAACGGTCCACAAGTCTATTAAAGTGCGAGGTTGAGAACCCCATGACCTAGAATATAGAACAACAGAGTTGGAAGGGACATTGGAGGTCTTCCATTCCAACCTCCTACTTGAGCAGGAGACCCTATAGTACCATTATACATAGGTGGCTGTCTAGTCTTTTCTTAAAAACCTCCAGTGATGAAGGACCTACAACTTCTGGAGGCAGGTAGTTCCACTGGTTAATTGTCCTCACTGTTAGGAAGTTTCTCCTTAATTCCAGGTTGCTTCTCTCCTTACTTAGTTTCCATCCGTTGCTTCTTGTCCTGCCTTCAGGGGCTTTGGAGAATAGCTTGACACCCCCCCTTCTTTGTGGCAGCCCCTCAAATAGTGGAATACTGCTATCATGTCACCCCTAGTCCTTCTTTTCATTAAATTAGACATACAGTATTCAATTCCTGCAACCGTTCTTCATATGTTTTATCCTCCAGTCCCCTTAATCATCCTTGTTGCTCTTCTCCGCACTCTTTCCAGGGATTGTATTTTAGACAGGCATTCCTTAGCACTTCAGTGGACATTATAAATAATGAAAAGGTGATTTGTGCTTAAAATGTATATGTGATTTACAGGGGATTTTTCTAATATAAGGCTGTGCAACATGTGCCAGGTCAATATCACCCTAGACGAAGGGTCTTCAAACTTGGCCCTTGTAGGACTTGTGGACTTCAACTCCCAGAATTGCCTGGCTGAGGAATTCTGGGAGTTGAAGTCCAGAAGTCCTAAAAGGGCCAAGTTTGAAGACCCCTGATCTAAACCGGGGGTATCCAACCTTGGTGACTTTAAGACCTGTAAACTTCAACTCCCAGAATTCCCCAGCCAATCATGTTGGCTGGGGAATTCTGGGAGTTGGAAGTCCACAGGTCTTAGCGTTGCCAAGATTAAACATCCTTTATCTAAAAAGTGTACCTGAAACTCTTTTGAGATCCTCATTCTGCACAAATTGGGAGCTTTGTGTATGAGGTATAAATACAGTCTAAATTGCTATTGCAGGATCACGCCTCCTCCTTTTGCAAAAAGTGTGACTCAGCAGTTATTTGCAAAGTTGGGATTGGTTATGTCAGGGGTAAGCAACCTTGGCTCTTTTAAGCCTCGTGGACTTCAACTCCCAGAATTCCTGAGCCAGGAGTTAAAGTCCACGAGTCATAAAAGTTCCCAGGTTGCCTACCCTTGGACTAGGAACATGCCACATTTGTAAAATGGCTCGCAAAATTCTGAGAAAGAGCTGGAGGGTTAATTCATTTCGACCTTCGGAGGGCCAGCAAAATGCAAGATTTAAAAACACTTGGAAAACTTGCAAATTCAAATTTAATTTAATGTTATTCAGACCATGAATGTAACGTCTGCTTCTGGCAAAATTATTTCGAGAATATCTTAGCTCCTTCTCTAGAAACTTAGGGCAACAGTTTTTGACCCACATCACAGACATACAAATGCACAGTCATACTTCTCCTGGATTACAGCAGATCAGTTGAATGTTGATCCCATTTTCTTAAGAAACGTTTACAGGCAATTAATTTCTCTCCCTTCCTAGGGTTGATGGAGGTTCAGATCCCCGTGGTTAAATATTTCGCAATACAAAATGGAGAGGTATTTAATTCCTCGGGGTTGTATTTTGATACAATGCAATAAATGGTGCGGTTAGACAGTTCTTTAGCATTTAGTTTAACTTTTAACTGTTGGCAACTGATTATATTGTTTCCGTTGAGTTCTTTTGGACCCAGAGACTATTCTCTTTCAGCTGTGACTAATGAGTTCCAATTTCAGTTTTTAAACAACAGCCCCCCCTTTGGCTGCTCCTGTTCTTGCAGTGTTGGTGTCTATTCCTGTGCATTGTGACTCTGTCTTGTCATTAGTGGGTGCAAACCAATGTTGCTAATTCAAGAAAATGACATTTGTAATGTTGTGACTAAATCCTGAAAAATTCAACCTTGCTCAGGTTGCGCTAGAGCAGAGTTTTTATTGTAGAGTGCTGTTTAGCTGGTAGATATTAAATCCCAAACTCTCAGTGGGCTAAGCCTGGCTTTGCTAGCCATGGTTTGTGAAGAAAAAGATGGCTGGGTTCTGCAACATACAGAGCCATAAATCGTGGATGGCTGAACCGTGGGATCTCACAAGATCCGAAGCCAAGCAAAAACAATAGTTGGCTTAGAGCAGTGTGTGAAACCAAGGCTACATATCACAGAGACTTAATCTTGAGACTTAATCTGTTTTAGGTTTTGGTTAACAACGTATCAAAAGATACCGCAAAGAATCATTTGGGGACTATTCAAGGTGAACCGAGGCAAACTGAAGCGTCGATCCCGTTTTGCAACATCTCATGAACTTGTGGAGGCTGTTAAGAACAACGCCACTGGAACCATCTTGCGCACAAAAGTACAATTTGAGAATTAAGTTATGCTAATTAAACTCTGTCAAGCTGCACCGTGCTATAATGATTAATGACAAACAATGGGGGGAGGGGGAAGGGTTACAGAGAGTGCCTTGATTCGGATCAATGGGCCCCCACTCCCAATATGAGTTGTAAATCGAGTTGGAGAACTTCAGGTGTAGAAAAATCCTCGAAATAAAGATGTTCTTAACTCTGGTTAGATGGTTGGCTGTGAGTTGTTTGCTTTCTTGCATCTTCAAGGGTTTTTTGGGGGGGGAGAGGTTGGGAGTGTGTGCACCGAGGTGCGGCGGCACCCATTTTTGTGCCCTGAAGCGCGGCATTGGCCGGTTTTCATGCTGTGCAGCAGCAGGCCATCCTGTTTCCATGGCTTGTGACGTGGCATCGGCCCATTTTCATGGTGAGGCGCACTGGCATCCTGTTTTTGCGCCCCATGGTGCAGCCTGTTTTTTGCGGTGCAGCGGCATTCAATTTTTGCGCCCTGAGGTGTGGTGGCATCCCATTTTTGCACTACATGGTGTGGCATCCTGTTTTCGCGTCCTGCGGCCACAGCGCTAGCACGAGTTGGGGGGGGTGTGCGTGCACATGTGCGGGCACTGGCCAGCCTGTCCTGCAGCCTGGTGGTCAGCAGCTCATGGCCCGCTACCGGGCCACGGCCCACAGGTTGGGGACCCCTGCTCTATTCTGTACTCTCTGGACCCGAAAGATAGCTATCTCTGTTAACCTTAGTTTCTCTTTTTTGTTGTTCTTCAGTTGCTAAGTGGTGTCCAACTCTTCGTGGCCCCATGGACCACAGCACACCAGGCCCCCCTGTCCACCACTGTCTTCCAGAGTTTGCCCACATTCATGTTGCCTGCATCACTGACACTATCTAACCCAGTGGTTCTCAACCTTTTTAATGCCGCGACCCCCAACCGGTTGTAAGTCGAGGACTACCCAACCGATTGTAAGTCGAGGACTACCCAAACGGTTGTAAGTCGAGGACTTTCCCTGCCCGGGAGCACCGCGCATGCGTGGTGCCGCCTCCTGCGCCGGCCGAGGTGTAGCTGGCAAGGGGCAGCGACGGTGCAGGACGACCACTGGCTGGGCCACCAGCTGGCCCAGCCCAAGGGAGGTAAGGCACCTGCTGGGCCCCACACATGCTAGCAACCCTCCCTGCGCCCACCGGCCTCCCACCTCCCACCCCTGGCCCTCTTTTACTTACATTTTTAGTAGTTGCTTAGCAGGGAGGGGTGGAAACTTCCAGACAGCTCGCCTTCGCTGCAGACAACTTGCAGCACCGTTTGCAGAATGGGACTTTTGGCGTGCTGAGCAGGGCAGAGACAGCCTAGACAATTCCTATTGGCTTTTGAA